GAAGGCCAATGGTCTCCTGGGGTGCATTAGGCAGAGTGTTGCCAGCAGATGGAGGGAGGTGATCCTGCCTCTCTACTCAGCCCTGGTGAGGCCTCCCCTGGAGTACTGTGTCCAGTTCTGGGCTCCCCAGTACAAGAGAGACATGGCACTCCTGGAGAGAGTCCAGCAGAGGACTACGAAGATGAAGAGGGGACTGGAGCATCTCTGCTATGAGGAAAGGCTGCGAGAGCTGGGCCTGTTCGGCCTGCACAAGAGAAGGCTCAGGGGGGATCTGATCAATGTGTACAAGTATCTGAAGGGAGGGTGTCAAGAGGATGGGGCCAGACTCTTCTCAGTGGTGCCCAGCGACAGGACGAGAGGCAACAGGCACAAACTGAACCACAGGCAGTTCCATCTGAACCTGAGGAAAAAACGTCTTTCCTGTGAGGGTGACTGAGCACTGCAAGAGGTTTCCCAGAGAGGTTGAGGAGTCTTCTGCGCTGGAGATATTCAAAACCTGCCTGGACACGATCCTGTGCAATGTGCTCTAGGTGACCCTGCTTGAGCAGGGAGGTTGGACTAGACGATCTCCAGAGGTCCCTTCCAACCTAAACGATTCTGTGATTCTGTGACTAGACTTCCTGGATCAGTTTCCTGGAATGTGTGCCCATTTTGCATGGGTTTATTAAAACAGTCCTGGGATCAGTCTGGCTTTCAGCATTGTATTCTTTCAGAAGAGTGTGTTACCTAGCAGACATAGAGTCAAGTCCCTTTTCCTGCTCTTTTTGTAGCCACATGGGTTTTGCGCTTCCTTCCTTACTGTTCAGTTGCTCTATTTCAAAAGGAAGATGTGGTGGACTGTTCCTCAAACGATAGCCTGAGGCTTAGGATGTTTTCTGGGGTGTGGTAACAGTGTTCAGATCAACACAAGCTGAGGGCCTGAATCTGATTTCCCATTCTGGGGCAAATTCTGTAGCCACTGGAATGATATTCAAAATACGAACAGCCCCTATTATGTTGTCAGATCAAGGTCTTACTAAGCATACTGAACAACTTTCAGGCTTCTCAAAAGGCTTTTAGAGAATTTAAGTAAACTATCACCTAAATCCATCTTGCAGTGAAACAGATAGATACTTTCTCCACAGCATGCACTTTTGATTAAATGTCTAGGAAATTTTAGATATCTACCTCATTCTGGGAAGCCTTAACCCGGTAGTCTAGAAAGTAGACTAAATAGGGGATTTGGTCAGATTTTAATTTGCATCTCAGTTTGGACACCACCTGATTTTGACCCTTATTACTATTTTACAAAGTTAAGCAGCGCATCACTTGCATTCATTGAAAAGTCTGTTTTGGGGAGTGATGAAAAGTTTGACTTTGGTTTCATCTAGTATCTGAAGACCATGTTTGACCGAGAAATACTGAACTCGGCTTGATACTTTTACAAATTGTGTGCCACTTCCGCAATGTGTATAGAAACGCTTCTATACACACAAAAAAAAGTGGTTTAATATTTTTGAAGAGCAAAATCATCTTTTGGAATATGAACTTGCTGCTATGTTACTGAAATTTCAGAGTACTTTCATATCACTAACTTGCCTTCTCAGTAGATCCGAGAGAAGGCAAAATCAACTTTTCCGCAAACAATGCTTTTTAAGAGCTGCTAAATGGGGAATCTTTTTGATAACGGTAAGGCCATTGCTCTGTTTATAGTAAGACCTTTTCTGAATATTTTATTGAGGGAAAATTCCAGGATCACCTGCTGTCTTCAGTACTCTTAAGGCCATTTGCACAATCTCTTTTTTCCTAATCTGTTCATAAACTGTAATATAGGAGATTCTCAACTGTTTTCATCTCTTCCAATGTTTAATTTGCCTTGCATTATACATAAGGAAAAACAGTGCATCAGCAGAGTCTTCTGCTGAAAGTTAAGTCCCCATGATGCTTGACATGCTCAAACTGCGTGGAAAACAACCGATAGGTGTACTGGCTACAAATTTTATCTATTGGATAACTTTTGTTCTCGTTCTTCCTTAGTTAGCCTTTCCCAAGAGGTTCTGTTCGTAAACATCGTCCTTCTTGTAGTCTTCGGACCGCAAGAGCTTCAGGCTTAGCATTATAGAAGGATGTCAGTGTGAGGAGCAGGTATACAGAACAGTTACTTATCATATTTTCTTATAAGGAGTAACACATCCCAGAATTAATTTGACTTTTCATCCCTGTTAAAATTTTAGGCCTGAATATGTTCACTAAGAATAGGTAAGATGTTTGTGCTGATGTCTTTAGAGCACAGGCCAGGTTTGGGCTCTGTGCAGTGGGTTCTGATGGAGTTGGAGAGGGATTATATTTCACTGAGTCCTACTGTTTCCCTGCAAAGTCTCAAAATTTTGTACTGAGTAAGCACTTAACTCAGAGGAAACTCAGTTTGAAATTGACTGGCAGAAGTTTTACCCAGTAATGTTTGACTTAAAAAAGAAACCAGTTTTATGATTAGAATGATGCCGTTTGAAAAACAAGCATTTGGCAGTGGCAAAACAATGAAGCCGGATATAGGAAGACTTTCTTTCTGTTAGCTACAGCTAGCTGTCTTACTGCATGTGCCGTGTTTTCTCTATTGTGTTATGCATAAAACTGAGGGTTTCTTGCACTTTTCCTGATGACGATAAGTATGAAATAGTATTGCGTACTATTGACCAGAATAAAATATTATTTTTGCTCAGTAGGGTAAGACACGTTGACTGGTGTGCTGACTTTATCAAAAGTGTAAAACATTCTTTTTATCTTGAACATACTAGACCCTCATTTAAACACATCCGTTTAAATGTCAATGAGCTGTGCAACTCTTCTGTATCAGTTATTGTGATTTTTAGCTTTTGGGGGGGGGGGGGGGGGGGTTCATTACTCTAATAGTTACGTTTGAAAACATTGGCAGTTTCTAATCATTCAGTCTTTCCCAACTGACTTCAAAAGTACTAAAGCTAGCTTGGGTGGAGTTTTACCAGTCTCCTCCTGCAGTGAGGAAGCTGTGCTGTTTGCATAACATTTCAAGAGTTTGAGTTGTGTTCTGCTTTTATATCCAACCTTGGCAAACTTTTTCTAGGCAAAGCTCTTCTGCACAAATACTGGCTTTTGATATGTGCCATATCTAATAGAAGGTAATATGAAAACAGAAAGATCTAGAAATGGAAACCTGATGTTGCACTAGTAAACAGTTTGGGTGAGGCAAAAAACAGAACTTCACAGCATCCTGAGGCCTGTCCAAAGCTATTCTCTTGTTAAATTTATCTTTACTATTTCAAGAATTTTTAGTTAGGTCACATTAGAAGTAGCACATATGCTACTATATGTTAATCACAAACTGAACTGCTTTGTATGAAATACTACTTAAGGCACATCAATATGAAAATGTATCCACAGTAGCTTCTTCACTATCCCCCTTCAAAAATATTTAAATATTACAATGTTTTTCATTTTCCTATATATGTTGTTATTTTGTAAAACTTAACATGTTTTTTCTGTTTATTTAATTTTGTATAGGTTCACTATTATGAAGATGGTAATGTTCAGCTAGTGAGCCATAAAGACATACAGGATTCTCTAACGGTGTCTGTAAGTGAACTTTAGAAACTTTAGTGTGTACATTGAAATGACTTTAATCTCAAAAGAGAAGCAAGACTTAAAAAAAAAACAAAACAAAAAATTAGAAATTTTGGAGCAAGTTTGCTCTTCATGAGTAGGAATGAATGTTCTAATTTATTAATAATTTTATATGTAATATTTACTGCTCTTGCCTAGCATGTAGTTACTGAAGGAAAAAGTCAGATGTCCAAAGCAATTGAAAATTAATTTAATGTATGCTTGCACATGGCTTATATAAGCTAAACTAACTTGGATTGTAAAGTTTTAATTAGCTTGCTTTCTACACTTCTGTTGTATTTAAACTTTAGTCTGCAAAGTGACTTATAGGATTAAATTTTGAATATGAGTAGTTTGAGTTATAATAACCCATTTAAGTAGTACAATCTCTAGGAGATAGCCTTTAGCACCCCTCTGGGAGAAGGCCAGTATGCTAAAAATAGTAAACAAATGCTGCCAGTTGAGAAGCAATAGCAAATATTCTCCCTTCCTTTCCTCTCTATCTGTAACTGGTGCTGTCAGCCTCTTGCTTTTATCAGTACAAAGAGCCCTTTCAGGGATGCTTCAGCTTGAGAAGCATAACACGCTGAATTTAAGGCTTTTTTTTTTTTTTTTTAGTATCTTTCCAAAAGGGATATTATAGTTATGAGATAGATAGTAGAAACAAAATTTATTTGGAAATAGTAACAGATGTGTCCTTTAAGAGTAGATAATGTTACAATATGGACGGCTAATTATTACTTTTGAAGTAGTATTTCTTTTGCTTACTGGAGATGGTGTTTCGAAACAGTGATATTTCTTATTGGAAACATTACTTAAGCCAGTGAGGTTAACTTGGCAAAGGGAAATTTAAAAAAGCAAATTGTAGCAGTATTTTCGTGATTTTGACTAGTAATGGCCAATTTTGCTCAAAAGCCCCGTTCATAAGCAAAGAACATTGTTCACTAATATAAAGCAAGGCTTGTTGGTTTTTCAGTTGTCGTAGCAGCCTGAGGAGTCGGGGGGAATGTGGTGCTGAGGAAGAACACTTCTGGAGCTATAGATATAAAGTTACTTCTGACCCCTAAGCAAAGGGATGTGTTTAGTCTTTTCTTCAATTAACAGTTGCTTCAGAGGAAGAAGTTCTCTTTCCAGTACCTTTTGCTACATTTTGTGTTGGAGGTAACTTAATCCTTTTCTGCAATTTAATCAAGTGACAGAAGAACAATGATTAGAAAAACATCTTAAGTTTCCTATCTCCTGATGGAACAGAAGCATGTATGTTGCTGATTACCAATTTTTAGCCTTGGACTTAAGCTTCATAGAAGGAAAAGGCAGTACAGACTCTTATATCATACAAAAGGAATGGTAGATTAGAAGGAGCCCTGAAAACTCGATTTTTTTTTTTTTGTGTGACAGTTTTCTATCCACCATGGGCACAGCTGACAAACAACTGAAGAGTTCTCTGGTTGATGCAGCTATGAGAACTTACCCTGAAGATTATTTTCTTATCCGTAATTTCTCTCTTAAGCCAAATGGGAACTCTTACCCCAGAGTTTTTGCTCTCATTAGCAGAGCATTTGAAATCATTGCCTCAGTTTTCTGAAATGTCAGACCCTTTCATTTTGAAATCTACTTCCACTTGGTCTGCGCCTCCTCCTGCTGTCCAGGAGCACTCTCACATCTGCTAGGTGGTGCAGTTTGACAGAACCTTTAAATGAATTTAGGTTGAAGCTGCCATAGTCTTCCCGTAGTCATTTAATCCAGTCTCCTTTCTTGCATTTGCACTAGCATTTTGTCGCTGGTGGTGATTAAGCTTAAAACACTAATCTTGTAGGCACAACGGGTTATGTGGGACCAGAACAGTCCTAACGTGCAGCGGTTTCTGGGGAAGCACGCTTTTAGGAATGTCTCCAACATCCAGTTGGAAGTTTTGAAATTCATGACACCTCACTTGTTTCTTGACAACTCTTTCAAGCTAATTTGTGTCCACATTGACTGAGGGGGGGGTCTCTGAGTTTAAAAAAAATAAAAACAACAACAACAACAAACACTAGGCATACTTAAGGATGAGGCCTCAAGCCAAGACCCTGCTTATCAGTCATGATCAAATATTGAAATTGGGGTGTTCTGCATCCGTGTTTTTGCAAAACATACTTTTAGATGCTTTTAGAAGACCAGATATATAAAGTTGAGGTTTGCTGCCTCAACTGAGTTGCCCAATTCAAAACCTTTTGAGTTGAGTACATGGTCTTCTTTGTGTTTTTGTTTGTATGCTGCATACTCTTTGGTTGAGTGATGTGCTTGAAGTTTTCCTGAATTTGAAGTGAAGATTCAACATTGATAATGTTAGCTTCTATACTTTGCATGTTTTTAGAGATTTACATGTGTGATGTCATACTTCCAAACACTGTTCTGTTCTTATGCCTTTTAATCGAACCAGCCATAGTATTTTTAATGAAACCATTTGAAAGAGCTCCATGGTAATCTTTGTTTTTTGCAGTTGGACTGTTTTTGGGGGTTTTTTTTGTTTGTTTTGTTGGGTTTTTTGTATGTATCATTTGCACCATGAATAATTCTGTAAGCTTGCTGCATGTAAATAAACCAATACTGTTTTGTACTTACTAGATGTGCTTCCTCATAATTTTAGTTTGTACTCTGAACCAGCACAACGCTGAAGGGGAGGAACACCAAAGTATGTGGCATGTGCCTTTTGGAAGTATGTTTGGTTCAATTGGTTTTAGCCCTTAAATGGTCATATGTCCTCATGGAGTCTACTTGGCATCTTTCATAGTTATAGGGGAAAAACATAAGTCAGTTGGTGGTCTTCGAATCATGCTGTACATCAGGCCTAATTCAAATGCTTTCTTTTTCTAGAACGAAGCCCAGACAGCAAAGGAATTTATAAAAATCGTAGAGGCTGCAGAAAATGAGTATCAGGTTAGTTGGAAACAAGTATTATACCCTTACTCATATGTGAAAGAATGCTATATACTAAACCAAAGCTAGTAATCTGTAATTAGCAAGCTTGATCTTATTGCAATAGCAAATCTATCATTTTA